TCATGTATGATGTTCTTGATGTCATCCCACAACTCTTCTGGTCTTTTGTCTTTAGTGTTAATGTATTAAATCTGTTCTTCAGATGATCTCTAAGTCATGGTATTTTCAATAATCTCAAATATGTGTGAAAGTTGAACAATGAATAAGGAAAACCATGGAATAATGGATGCATTTGATTTACAATGCTAGAGAAGAATATTGACAGAAGGACAAACAAATCTATCTGTGTTGGAAGAAGTACAGCCCAAATGTTCCATACAAATGTGCATGACAGGACTTCATCTCTCATACTTCAGACATCTTATCAGGAAGTACCATTTCCTAGAGAAGGACATCACACTGTAAACAGTGGAGCATCAGTGAAAATGAGGAACTCTTCATTGAGATTGGCACAGTGCTGTAGCAATGGGCTCAAATGTAGTGGCAATTGTAAGGATGATGCAGAACCAGCCTGTTTCATTCTATTGTGCATAGAGTCACTATGTATTGGAACCAAACTGATGACCTGAATGACAACAGAAATGGGTGTCATACAAAATAATGCACAAAGCATCAAAGAAATTGGAATGTATACCAAAAGAAAACACAAAAGACAGATGTTCAACCATTTCAAGAGGTAGTGTATGATCAAGAAATGATGTTACTGAAGGAAGAGGTTCAAGGCTGTACTGAAGTTATCATTGTTATTGTTAGTTGCCATTGAGGCAGTACTGACTCATAGTGACTGCACAACAGAACGAAACACTGCCTGGTCATGTGCCAGCTCTCAATCATTTCTATGCTTGAACACATCACTGCTGTCAGTGTACATAGCCATCTAATTGGTGGTCTTCCTCTTTTCTGCTTACCCTCCTCTTTGCCAAACATGACACATTTCTCCAGGGACTGGTCCCTCCTGATAATATGTCTTAAGTATGAAAGACAAGGTCTGGCCATCCTGGCTTCTAAGAAGCATTCTGGCTGTACTCGTTGCTATGGGTCAGAACCGACTCGACAGCACTTCACAACAACAACAATGGCACTTTTAATATTCTCCTCCATCTCCATAACTCTAATGCATCAATTCTTCTAGGGTCTTCTATATTCATTGTCCAATTTCCACATGCATATGTGGTTAGTGAAAAAAACATGGCTTGGGTCAAGCACACCTCAAAACTGACATCTTTGCTCCTGAAA